GCCTTCAAGGTCAAGAAAGTGACTCTTCAACTAATACAGACGTACGTGAGACCATTTTTTTCATCTTCTGAATCCCCCGACCTATGTGCCAGCACACCCCCTGCCAGCACCCTTACTCATAAGCTTGTCCAATGCAGTGCCTTAAAGGATGGGTAAACAGAGGCCCAGAGCAGGGTCTCTGCTGAGAAATGGCCCATTATGTTTGAGAACAGCCTCTTCTCACAATCCCTGCCTACTGCTACTAACTGCACAAGTAGTAACTCGTTCTATTTTTGGCATGAGCATGACATTCATCTAGATTAATATGCAAAGATGCAAAAGGGCAGAGAATGAAAAGTCTCTCTCCCACTTCTGAATGCCAGCTGGCTAATTTTCCTCCCTGGAAGCAACCAATGGGCCCAGTCTGTTATGTTTGCTTTCAGAAATGCTGTGTCCCCATGCAAGTAAATTTGCATGTATCTATAAACACACAGAAGGGCACACACGTAATATAGACTTTCATGGGCTTTGTCTCATAGAAAAAAATTGCTAGGAGCTGATGCCAAGTTTTGGAGTTATCTCAATTGACTATTCACAGTCAATTATAGACTCAACTTCTTGTTCTACTCTCTACCCTCTTCTCACTATTGTACTTGACTAGTCTTTTAAGAAAAAGAAAGAAAAAAGGGAGGCTGAGGTAAAAGAATCGCTTGAACCCAGGAGGAAACGGTTGCAGTGAGCCAAGATCGTGCCATCGCACTCCTGCCTGGGCGACAGAGTGAGGCTTCTCAAAAAAGAAAAAAATTGCTAAGAATCTATGTGTATATAAACAGCTTCTTCACTTTTTATGACTCTCTAACATTTCTTAATGAAGATGCATCATAATTTAACTAATCCTGTATCAAAGAACACTTGATTGTTTTCAATTATTGACTTTTATACCCAATTTTTATACCCAACTACCATGAATAAGGTCACAGACCAGTCTGTCACCACTAGGCATAAGCATCTGAAGGATGAACTCCCCTAGGTGGGATTGTGGGACCAGACATCATGTGCTTTGGTCATTTTGCCAGGTGTCCTTGCATCTTCCTTAATGACTGAAACGGAAGGTGAAGGGCTCAGGTGTGTGCACTCATTCAGCTGTGGGATAGCATTTCCACTGTTTCGTCAATGGGCAGGTTCATCATCATTTGGGCAAACACAGAAACACAAAATCCCATCATTCTCCTCATGCCTCTTTCCCAGGGTCACGGATATTTTGCCTTTGTCTCTCCCTTTACCCTTGGATGACATTGTTCTTCAACTGTTGACAGTAAAAATAAGTAAAAATGTAAGTCCTGGGAAAGAGGAGGGCACCCCTTGGAGGGCTACATCACTGGGGAAGACAAAAGGGTCCCTTCCCTTAGATATGCTTGATGCCAGGAGACACTCAGGAACGAGGTGTCAGGCCCTTGGGATCCGCGAGACTTGGGGACCAGCAGCCCCTCCAGCCCACCAGGAGCACTGACAATGCCTTGGGCTGGTGGGAGGGAGGGATGACTTCTGCCAAATAGGAGGTCAAGGAAACAGGACAGAAAGAAGGGAAGGAGAGGGCTGGGTGCAGTGGCTCATGCCTATAATCCCAGCACTTTGGGAGGCTGAGGTGGGTGAATCACCTGAGGTCAGGAGTTCCAGACCAGCCTGGCCAACATGGTGAAACCTTGCCTCTACCAAAAATACAAAAATTAGCTGGGTGTCCTAGCACATGCTTGTAACCCCAGCTCCCCAAGAGGCTGAGGCAGGAGAATCACTAGAACCCGAGAGGCAGGGGCTGCAGTAAGCCGAGATGGTGCCACTGCACTCTGTCTCAAAAAAAGAAGGGGAGGAGAACAGAGGAGAAAAAGAAGAGACTGTGGGGAGAGAAGGAGGGCAGGCTGATGGTGCTTCCTTGGCAAAACTAACCAGCGGTGACTTCACAGATGGAAGAACCAAACTCCTGTGACATTGTTCTCAGTGACAGCAGCGACTGCAAGAACTGTGAGTACAAACATGCAACCTCCACGGGGCTGCCCAGGCCAACGGCAAGAGACGACCAAGGGTCCTTAAGGGATCCTACCAGGAGACAGATCAGAGAGGAAGGGGCTGTGGGATACAGTACCACACGCCTCCTAGCACCCAGACACCCTCGCCCCAGCACCCAAATAACCTCGATGCAGCACCCAAACAACCTCACCCCAGCACTTTCTGGCCACAAGATGCCCCAGCTTACCTAAGTCTAAGTCAGTCTCACTTTGATTTAGTCCCCAGGAAGGGAAAAGGACAAAGCCCCTGGCAGTCCCCGCTGTAGCTTGCCAGTCCCAAATAATCTGCCCAGCACACACAGGCACGGAATCTCGGGAGGAAAGTCCCAGGCCCTCACCCCAGGAGGCTGAGAATCAGAAATCCCTCAATGTCCCCAGACATGCAAAGAGATAGGGATAACAGGACGTGGGAGGTTGGCAGCCACCAAGAGAGCTGAGGCAGGGAATCAATCACATTTGACAAGTTCCAGAGTAGAGGAGACACAGGGCCCAGCCAGTGAGTCTTTTCCTCCCTTGGAGTTAGGGGCTCATCAGGAACAGGGCCAAGCCCTCGTGTAAGCTCCCCCCACTCCCCATGGCCTCCTTCCACATGCATGAGAATCCAGGAGAGGCAGCAGCTTTCTGCCTGAGATCCAGGGACCGGGAGGAGTCCAGATTGGCCCCCTGGGGAAGGCAGTGCTGGGCAGAGGACTGAGGGTGCACCAGCTGTCAGCGCTGTGCTGCAGCATCTCCATGTCTCTCTCTCTTCTCTCCTGCAGCTATGGGCTTGTTCACATACACCTTTAAAAGTTCCAGAATGTCCCCCCAAGGTCTTTCAATCTTCTACTGTGTAAGTGCACCCTGCCCCTATGACGGCTTCTATTAATAGACAGAAGCAGGGAAACCCCTAAACTCACAATATATATTTGAAAGATGTCACAAACCAGCCTGCATCCTTACCCTGGGGTGAATCTCCAGGCTTCTGCCACCGCACCTGAGTGCCTGCCCCAGGGCCGACCATGTGTTCTCTTCCACTGAAGTCCAGTGTACGATACTGAGGCCATTCCCACAATGACGACCATTTATTGGCTATCAGGATCAGCCCAGCACAGATCTAGACATCCAAAGGACAATACATAAGAAATGACAGAACACACTCACCCTACCCACCCCTGTAAGCCACTGGGAAGGCAAAACCAGGTCATGAAAAGTGCTGAAAAAGGCAAGGTTTTGGACTCAGGTAGCTTCACTTCCAGGAATCTATCCAAAAAACCTAAGCACAGACACATTTAAGTACAAAGACATAGAGGTATTCATGATGGGAATTTAAAAAACAAAAAACCTGAAACAAAAAGCAAATTATTAAACCAAGTACGAGATCATTAGACATGCTGACAACATTTGTGATGGTTTACAAAAATGCTTGTGAAATTGTCGTTAGTTTTTTTGTTTTGTTTTTGAGACAGGATCTCATCTGCCACCCAGGCTGGAGTGCAGAGGCACAATCACGGCTCACTGCAGCCTGGATCTACTAGGTTCAGGTGATCCTCCCACCTCAGCCTCTCAAGTAGCTGGGACCACAGGTGTGCGCCAAGGTGCTCAGCTAACTTTTAATGTTTTTAATTTTTTGATAGAGACCAGGTCTTTCTATGTTGTTCAGGCTGGTCTCAAACGCCTGGGCTCAAGTGATCCTCCTGCCTGGGCCTCCCAAAGTGCTGGGATTACAGGTGTGAGCCACTGTGCCCAGCTATTGTGAGTTTCATTTTATTTTGAGACAGAGTCTTACTCTGTCGCCCAGGCTGGAGTGCAGCGGTGCAATCTCAGCTCACTGCAACCTCCACCACCTGAGTTCAAACAATTTTTCTGCCTCAGCCTCCTGAGTAGCTTGGACTACAGGCATGCGCTACCATACTTGGCTAATTTTTTTGTATTTTTAGTAGAAACTGGGTTTCACCATGTTGGTCAGGCTAGTCTCAAACTCCTGACCTCCAATGATCCGCCTGCCTCAGCCTCCCAAAGTGCTGGGATTACAGATGTGCACCACCATGTCTGGCTATTGCTAGTTTTTAAACAGCAAAGTAAATTTTGCTGAACCTCTAACTTTCCTGCTATGTGGAGTTTGCATTTCATAAGCAGGGGGAAATGCCTATTAACCAATGAAGGCCAGAATATCCATGAAAGGAAATTATAAACAAGACAGGCTTTAGAATGTGGGAAGGAAGGAGGGCACACCAGGCTGATAGTGCAAGTACAGGAAGGTCAGGAATGTCACCTGTTGGCCAGACAAGGTGGCTCAAGCCTGTAACCCCAGCACTTTGGGAGGCCAAGGTGAGTGGATAGCTTGAACTCAGGTGTTAGAGACCAACCTAGGCAAAATGACAATATCCTGTGTCTACAAAAAATCCAAAACTCAGCTGGGCATGGTGGCATGTGCCTGTAGTCTCAGCTACTAGGGAGGCTGGAGTGGGAGGATCACTTGAGCCTAGGAGACAGAGGTTGCAGTGAGCCGAGATTGCACAGCAGCACTCCAGCCTGGAAAACAGAGTGAGACTCTGTCTCAAGAAAAAAAAGTGACTATTGTGCAGATGTGCATATACACATATACACCTTACTGGGAGCAACACTTAAACAGGGGCCATTTGCCTGAAAAATAATGAATGTGGCTTCCCCTGGGAAGTCAGAGGTCTGAGTGTCCTGAGCCACACTGTTTGGGGGCACGGGCAGCCAGAGCTGAGCAGCAGCTCCTCGTTCACCCGGTGCCTGCCATCCAGACACTCTGAGCCCCACCATGCCCCATGGTCCATACCACAGCAGAGTCGGGGAGGTCAATAGCCGTGTGTCCTCAGGCTCCTCCCATGGCGATACCCTCAGGGCCACCTCACTTGTCACCTCCCCAGTCAGACCTCCGAAGGCACTGAAATGGGTGTCGGTTTCATGTGATCACAGAGATTGTCTTCTGTTTTTTCACTCTAGGCTGAAGCCCGCTTTAATAAAAATGCAGTTGCTGTGCCTGGAAGTTCTCTCTCTTCAGTTACTAAAAATGCCAGCATTTCTCTAATTCTATCCCACTTGATGCTCAAGGCCATCATCACTCACACTGCCAAGCAGAGCACTGTGCAGGTAAGGGCCACCCACAGGGCCCAAGGTGGCTAAGCACTGTCCTCAAGCTCAGCCGGTCAACCTCTGATAGCAATAAGGAGGGGGTGAAAGTGGATTCTGAACAGTTCTTCCAGGTTAATACACAATTGCCATGAGAGGCACCTTTTCCCTTCATTGTCATGTAAATGGGCCCTGGCTTATGTTGGGGGAAAGCAGAGAACAGGGACATGGGAGGAAAAATGTGTTCTGAAGCTGGGTGAGGTGGCTCATGCCAGTAATCCCCATGCTTTGGGAGACCGAGGCAGGCAAATCACTTGAGTCCAGGAGTTGAAGACCATTCAAGACCAGCCTGGACAACATGGTGAGACCTCGTCTCTACAAAAAATTAGCCAGGTGTGGTGGTGCACATCTGTAGTCTCAGCTACTCAGGAGGCTGAGGTGGGAGGATCACCTGAGCTGGGGAGGTTGAGGCTGCAGTGAACTGTGATTGCACCACTGTACTGAAGCCTGGGCGGCAGAGCAAGACCTTGTCTCAGAAAAAATAAAAAATAAAAAAAAGGGTTCCGAGTGCCATCTGTGTGCCAGGGACAAAACCAGGTGTCTTTATATAACTAACATCATTTCATCCTCAAAACAGCACTGAGATGTAGGTTTCCTTATCCCCATTTTACAGATAACCAGAGTCAGGGAAGGAAGTGCCAACAGTCACAGAATGAGCAAAAAACACATGGCAGGTGTTCATTTGCTACCAGCCCTAGAAGTGGCTGAGGGAATTGTAGCAATAGTAACAATCAAAATTGACTTCTATGTGAAACAAAGTATAATTTTGAAACGAAGTATAATTTTTTTAAGACAGTGTCTTAAAAATGATCAAGTGCAGAAGTCTCGTCCCATAAGGGCATAGAGAGAGACAGGCTTCAGCTTGGACAAGCTGTAATAGAAACGTAAGATTTTACGTGTTGCATGACCCACCATCCTTCAAAGGAAGGAAACGTCATCAAGGTGAATGTTTGGATATAGACCTTATCTGTCATGGACACATCAGCTGCGCCAGCACCCAGATGACCAACTTACACTAGACAATCAATAATATTTGCATGAACGATCTGAATGATGCGAGTGTCTCATCTGTAACATTGTGCAGTCCTTCCTCATCACACTCTAAATGACAACTTCTTTCCAACAGAGAAATAACCTGAATGCAAGAATCACCAAACTAACCTACTCCCACCAGCCAGCCAATCAAATCCAAGCCAGCTACTGGGTTAACATCTCCAAGGATGGCGAGCGCCCTGTCACCGGGAAAACGGTGAGTGCTGAGAAATGAATCAGAACAGAGTTGTGAGGAAGAACTGCAAGGAGCAGTGTTTAGCGGGATGAGATACACCCTAAACCCTGAGGCTCGGAGTGTCTGGGTGTACCTAGGATGAGGGAGACCAGCCAGGCCAGCAGGCTCAGCCCCCAAGGGGAGAATGGAGTGAGCAGGTTGGCTTAGGAGGATAAGGCCGGGCAGACAACCCTGTGACCTGGGACCCTGCTGGCCATCACACAATGTGACATGTCTGCTGAGTAGCCAGGCCAAGGTGTTACTATTAACTCATGCTCGTTTCGTATTAATTCAGGACTTAATCATCTCATTGGTGTGCAAGATTTCAAAAGACAAACTGATCACAGACATCAGACTTCTGAGGTACTGTCTATAACTACATAATCCCCCTGTCTATATAAGAGATGATCTCAGGCCTGATAAAAATCACGTAAGCGGCCGGGCACAATGGCTCACGCCTATATTCCCAGCACTTTGGGAGGCCAAGGCAGGCAGATCATTTGAGCTCAGGAGTTCCAGACCAGCCTGGCCAACAAGGTGAAACCCCATCTCTACTAAAAATACAAAAACTACCTGGGCATGGTGGCATGCGCCTGTAATCCCAGCTACTCGGGAGGCTGAGGCAGGAGAATCACTTGAACCCTAATGGCGGAGCTTGCAGTGAGCTGAGGTCGCACCATTGCACTCCAGCTCTGGGCTACAGAGCAAGACTCCGTCTTGGAGAAAAAGAAAAATTACATAAGCAAAATAGTCATAAGGCTCTTGGGAAGTATCTGCAAAACTACAAGGAAATCAGGACGGATTTTTGAACTCACATGTTGTGGTTCATCCTACATTTACTCTTTCTGCTCAGTAGTTTCCAAGTTATAAGTGATTTTCAGGAGCAACTGATGACCTACTTAGCTCTACAATGGAGTTGCATTTTTACCTGAACCTAATGTTTCTCTGTACTTTGTTTCCTGACAGCTCTAAACACAGTACAACACCCTCCGATGCTGTAAGTTTATTACATTTTCAATATATTTATCAATGGTATGTGAGAAAAAATTGTAGTGCCAGGTGCTCAGTGCCCCACACACTCTGGAAAGAAAAGATCAGGAATGGCCAGGAACGGTGGCTTACACCTGTAATCCCAGCACTTTGAGAGGCTGAGGTGGGAGTTCAAGACCAGCCTGGCCAATATGGTGAAACCCCATCTCTATAAAAGTACACAAATTAGCCAGGCGTGGCGGCGGAGGACTGTAATCTCAGCTACTCGGGAGGCTGAGGCAGGAGAATCGCTTCAACCCATGAGGCAGAGGTTGCAGTGAGCCAAGTTTGTGTCACTGCACTCCAGCCTGGGCAAGAGGAGCAAGATTCTGTCACAAAAAAAAAGAAAAGAGAGGTCAGGAAGACGAGACCATAGACAGTGTGGGGAAGGACAGCGGCTCCAAACCTAGGCTCTCTTGGGAGCTCTTCAAACACAGCTACCCACGCCCCGTGTGCATTCCACACTCAGGCGCTGACGCGAGCGGGGCGTGGAATCCTGGCCTTTGTGGCATCCTGGTGTACCTGCTGCACACAGCAGGCCTTGCAATTCATAGCAAGGAAGAAAATCTGACCTAGACCAAGCTTGTCCAACCCACAGCAACAGGCCATGTGTGGCCCAGGAGGGCTTTGAATGTGGCTCAACACAAATTCCTAAACTTTCTCAAAACATTATGCAATTTTTTTTGTGATTTTTTTTTTAGCTTATCAACTATCGTTAGTGTATTTTATGTGTGGCCCAAGATAATTCTTCCTCTTCCAATGCGGCCTAGGGAAGCCAAGAGATTGGACACCCCCTGATAACTACACTCTAATCTAGCTAGGCTCATGAGAACTTCTCAGAATCAGAGGCAAGTGTCCCTGGCTCAGCTCTCCCGTCAGCTGTTTTCAACCCATGTTCCATGGAGCGAGCATGCAGACTACCCTGCAGATCACCCCAGGAGAGCCTGGGAGGAGAGGAGTGTGCGGAGTGAGGGAAGGCTCCAGTGACCAGGCTCCAGCAACAGAGACAGAAACTAGTGTGTTTCCCCCACCAACTCCATGTTTAAGATATTCCATCTTGAACAGTTCTGCTGTGTCGCCAGCCTGGAGTGCAGTGGCACAATCTCGGCTCACTGCAAGCTCTGCCTCCAGGTTCAAGCGATTCTCCTACATCAGCCCCCTGAGTAACTGGGATTACAGGCACCTGCCATCACGCCCAGCAAATTTTTTGTATTTTTAGTAGAGACGAGGTTTCACCATGTTGGCCAGACTAGTCTTGAACTCCTGACCTCAGGTGATCCTCCCACCTCAGCCTCCCAGAGTGCTGGGATTAGAAGTTTGAGCCACTGAGCCCAGCCAGCTCAAATCTTAAATCAACAAATGTTTAGTGAGCACGTGCTATGTGCCCAGCCCTGCAAATGTCACATGAAGTAGTAATGAGGCATCTAACTCTAGGAACTGACATTCTAGTGTAAGGACTGAATGGGGACATATAAACACATTTTTTAAAAGGCAAAAAGTATTAAGAGTCTGTCAGCCACATGTTAGGCGGAGGCACAAAATGAGCAGCCAGAAGTGAACAGCCTCATTACTTTATAACTGAAGAGTTTATGAGCTGGGGCCCCTATATCAGCCCTGAGATAATGGGGACTCACTGAGAAGCAAACTCTGGAGACGATCACTAGCCCAGGGCACCCTTTGTCTCAACTTGACCAGGCAGCTACATGACACATCAGGCTGCATGCTCAGCAAAAGCAACTTAGAAGGCACGATCCCCAACCTCAGATAACTACCCACCTGACAGGGGACAAAGACCTTCATGCAAACAGCTGTCAACAGGGCATGAAGAAGACACAGTAGAGAGAGCACCAAGTGGGAGGCAGAGGGTAGGTTTACTAAAGAAGTGATGCCTGAGCTCAGCCTTCAAAGAGGAGCAGGAGTTTATCACACAAAATAAAAGTGTATGGCTGGGCAAGGTGGCTCATGCCTGTAATCCCAGCAAGGTGGGTGGATCACCTGAGGTCAGGAGTTCGAGACCAGCTTGGCCAACATGGTGAAACCCCGTCTCTACTAAAAACACAAAAAAATTAGCTGGGGGTGGTGGCGGGTGCCTGTAATCCCAGCTACTCAGGAGACTGAGGCAGGAGAATCACTTGAACACAGGAGGTGGAGGTTATAGTGAACCAAGATGGCACCACCACACTCCACTGGTGACAGAGCCAGACTGTCTCAAAAAAAAAAAAAAAAAAAAAGTCTGCATGTACAGAGGACCTAAGACTGCTTTCCCTGACTGTGACAACTAGCTGTGGACTACCAGATAATGCTGATGCAAATGCTCCTTCTGTCTCTTGCAGATTGACCAGATACAAGGGGAGATGGCTGAGGTTCTGAAGAAGTTCTGGTCTGGCCTTACTGGTATGTTGCATTAATAACCTGAACACCTAGAAGAGTCAGTGGCAGAGGACAAGCACCAGGGTGCGAGCCACGCTGCAGTGTGCTGAGCACAAGGTCATCCGGTCACCAGCTAGGCCACAGGACACTTTTGTGGTCAGACAGGGGCTTCAATACCCTGAGATGGCAAAAAATGAAAGTCAAATCAAAATGCCTCTCCTGTAACTCCTACAGAAATCTCTGCCCACTAGGTGTCTTCAGGACCAACACTATCATCATGCTTAGAGGAAACATGGACCCGAGCACCTGGTCTCATAGTCATTAGGGACTTGAGAAATCAAGACACTGAGATGTTTACTCTTACTATCACCAGAGATGATGATGCAGCATGCCATCTGCACATATTTCTGGTTAACTCTAACTAAAGAGGTTCAAAACAGCACAAATAACACTAAAACAGCAGGGCCTCACTCGTGTGGTTTCTTAAGGTATTAAGGACAGACATGCTAGCTTATCACCTGGTATCAGTATTTGGATCCCTGGCTGGACACAGTGGTAGCTCAGGTGTGTAATTCCAACACTTTGTGAGGCTGAGGCAGGAGGATCACTTGAGCCCAGGAGTTCAAGACCAACCTGGGCAATATAGCAAGACCCCATCTCTACAAAAAAATATATTTTTAATTAGCCAGGCATGGTAGCATGGTCCTGTAGTCCCAGCTATTTGGGAGGCTGAAGCAGGAGGATCGCTTGAGCACAGGAGTTCTAGGCCAGCCTGGGAAACATATCGAGACTCAGTCTTTATAAAAAAGAAGAAAGAAAAGAAAGAGTACAGCTGAGCACAGCAACTCACTCCTGTAATCCCAGCACTTTGGGAAGCCAAGGCAGGAAGATCACTTGAGGCCAGGAGTTCAAGACCAGCCTGGGAAACACAGGGAGACCCAGTCTCTACAAAAACATAAAAATCTTTAAATTAGCCAGGCATGGTGTCATGAGCCTATGTTCCCAGCTACTTGTGAGGCTGAGGCTATCTGAGAGCAGGAGGAACACTTGAGCCCAGTAGTCTGAGGTTGCAGTGAGCTATGATCATGCAACTGTACTCCAGCCTGGGTGACAGAGTGAGACCTTGCCTCTAAGAAAAAAAAAAAAAATGCCAGGTTTCCACCTCGGCTTTGGATACTTACCAGGTTTCAATCTGGTTCTGGAGTCTTCTCTTCCTGGCTACCCGGCTCTCACCTCCCACACCCTCCAACAGCCTGGGGAGTATCCAGGCCCTTATTCAGATCACTCTGTTGAATGGGCAGGGAAGAGATTTCCCAGTTATGGTTCTTTTGACTCATAATATGTTCCTTCTTTATTTCAGAATATGTTAAACAATGGAATATACCACCACCAGTAATCTCAAATCTTCTAGACAATGTCAATTTTGAAGTGCTTAAGTCGGTAAGAGGGAGAAATACAAATATTTTCTTTTCGCACTACCACCCACCATGTGCTTGCATCTTCAGAGAAATGAATGGGACCAGAGAGGCCGGGCATCACGGTCTGTTCCTGGCTGCCCTCTCTGCTCCATCCACCCTCCCCACTCTCTCCCAGTCAGAATTACTGCTTACGGTAATTTCAGGCACCACACAAGTCCTAACCTAACAGGAAGTCACTCTTGACCATGTATAATCAAATAATCGGTCCTGTGGTCCACACAAGTACTCTCATGCTTACTGAATATATCTCAATCATTTCTTTGGAAATTTCACCACTGTGCATATCTGACTCATCCTCACTGTCACCTGCTGCCTTCCTAAAGCCTCTCATTCTCTGCTGCCGTGAGTCAAATTTCCCTTTCTTTCCCTGTATCTGACCCTCAACCCAGTGACAATTTTGAAGGAAATCTTGCTTCCTTTATTCAACTTTGTCACAAGTAAGAGGTTAAATGGGCCGGGCACAGTGGCTCACCCTTGTAATCCCAGCAGTTTGGGGGGCCAAGGCGGGCAGATCATGAGGTCAGGAGTTCGAGACCAGTCTGGCCAACGTAGTGAACCCTATCTCTACTAAAAATACAAAAAATTTGCCAGGTGTGGTGGTGTGCACC